CACTGAAACAGCACAAATATTGTAGATGATCGAGTGATTTGACCAATCGTCAAGGGCACTACCAAGAAATATGAATTAGAAAAAATTGTTCAATGAGAGCAGAGCGTATTTGAGTGCGGAAATCACTAGCCTTTGACCATGGCGTAGTGCTCCAGTGATATGCCGGACACATCGGCATCAGACATGTCGAAGATTCGAGTGGCTTCGTAACTTGGGCGCAATCTTGATCTGGTAATCTCGTTCGACGACCTTTTTGACAGGTTACTATTCGAGTTCGTATTCCTCTTCCACATGTTACTGAGCACTAAAGAGCGCAATAAATTTTCATCAAAATGCTTCCGGAATCGCTTCCTGCCTGCGTTCCCAACAACTCAACAACGCCCAATAAGTTTCATACAACTCCAGACATGTTCGCTGTGTTATTTTACGTTGAAATGACAGACGTATTGTTGATATCACGGAAGTGGACACGTTTAACACTGCTGATTATTGTCACGTGATAACCACTTATGAAGTATATTTCTCATTGGACGTTGTAGTTCCAAACTGATTGTTTTGGCAATCAATGTGAGATCGACTATATCCATAACGAACAGAGAACAATTCGCATGAATGTCACAGTAATAAGAATGAGACCTTGTTCGGATACCTTTCGAAGGCAATGCTCGAAACAGTGAACACAACAGCTGTACAATAAGAAAAGCGCTTTAAGGGCGGAACAAGCGATTACTCATTCGATTCGGGGAGATTTTAATGAATCGCTTGAAAAGAAGTGCACGTGTACAGCAGACAAGGAGATGTTGGGTAAAAATTTAGAATGGGAATTGAGTAGTGAGTTTTAATAGAAGAGATGTTGGTTTGATGAGAGTGTCAATGAAGAAAATGTGATAAGAAGAACCAAACGCACACACCATTGACCATTTAGCGGTTTTCCATCGAGGGCAATGTGCCATACGACAACGATGCGAATCAATTGGTCGTTTTGTGGAATCACAGAGATTCGGTGATACCGATTTTAGTTCTGAATTGACGCACGTTACAATACGTTTACGAACACCACGACCGCATGTTTTCGAACACTGAAAAGCATTTTACAAAAGCGTTCGTTCCTTTTACAGACACTCACTAAGCATTACGCTTCTTCATCACTTTACTTGCTTCATTCCAAATTAATCGTTTTTTAGCGAGCTCTGCGACAGAAAAGCAGTCACGTGAGGTATACAGAATCAGTGGAGAAGAAAACTGATCATTTGTGGTATTTTTTAGCTCGAGAAAACATCGATCGACGACTTGAAGGGAATCTCGTAGAAGTTTTTGTCTTTGAAATCACAGAATCAAATGAGGCATTCAGAAAGCTTCATTGATTGCATGCATTCTATGGCAAGACGTACCCACTACTGCTATAAGAGAACGAGAGTCGAACGGTTGAATTGCTGATTAGTTTAAATGTCATGCATGCAATGATGTGCTCAGCGAGTGTGTGCATGCGTTTTAACTGTATAAAGAAAGCAATTGCATTCGGCGCTTGCTTGCAATCTTTTGAAATTCCAACCGAACACAACGAAATAAATCGTGCCCAAAAGCAATGCTTAATCTTTGTTGTGCTCTTCAAATGGAACTGATTCAGTGCACAGCCGAATAGAACAAATATTGTCTTGATACAAACCAACTGATCGCTGCTGCTCATCCGATATTAATGGATATATTGAATTTGGTCTCCTGGTCAGTAACCACGAAAATACAATAAACGAATATACTAAATCTATTAGCCTTTTGATAGATACACGAAAAAAAACACGAATGACACATCAAATATGAAACTGTCATAGATTTATATATAACCACAGACACAAGCTTTGGTTATGTTCGTGATAACGAATTGTAATAATAATGATGATTCGACGACATCGCCAGTGTCTAAAATATATCACACCAACACAATTGCATCATGCTGCACAGAGAGAGGATGCATGGAAAATGCGTCTGATAGCATGCATTGCTCATGGACAGTATTTATGCACACATGGATAGACGGATGAATAGTTAGAGGTAGTAGAGTGGTGACGTTGTCATATAACTTAGGTAGTTGCTCTGCAAAATATGGCATCATTTAGTGTTGCTTCGATGATTATCATTCTGATCGCTAATTATGTTACTGTTTCGTATTCGAACGAAAGCCTCATAAATGAGATTTATTTTATTTTATGCAAGTTTTACCGAAATTAATTAAATCATCATCAATAACAATGGTCAGTAGCAATAAGTTACACACTGTGCGATCGAAATCTTCACATATGGTAATTATAATAACAATAATGATACAAAGTGAAATGAAAAAGAAAGCAGTTGAATGTGTTTGGGTGTGTGCATGATGTGCAAAATGAATCAATTGCCTGGAAATGTGCTTGAGAAAGCATTAAAATAATGAATAAGAACAGCAATAACGAAATGTATTATTAGATAGCTGAACTGACACTAGTGAATATAAAATCTGATCAATGCGATTTCCATTCACATTTTTCTAACTTTTGGTTACGGTACTTCGTAATTATGAGTGACTCGACAATATGTCCTTCTGCCAAATTTTAGTGCAATCCCTTAAGTGGAGAGGACTGATTTTCGAAAACTGATTCCAACGTTATACTTCTGAATCCAAAACGGTGTGTTTTTCATTTTCCGTTTATGAATAACACACGATGCTCGCCACTCATTGTGCGACACACCATCACATAATGATGGTCGATTCAGTTTTAGTCAGATCTTATATTCGCGCCGTTCTATATCGCAACGTGCTGTGTGGTTTTTGATTTAATTTCAAAGAATTATTTGGAAACGCCATCGTTCTTCTCACATCAAATCACTGATTGCAGTTCTGCACGAAAAATCGCGTCGTTCGCCTCCGAGCTCAGAAAAATCAAACCCACTGCGGGCGGCTTCTTCATCAAAATGAATTAACATGTAACATTGCGATGTACAACGATATTTTTGATAACAATGACAATAACAATGATAATAACAACAACAATAACAAAACAATTGCTTACGCCTAAACAGTAAATGGCAGTTTTACATGCAACATCGCATTAGCAGTTTAAACCTAGACATGACGATTACTGTGCACTGAAAGTAATCTGAGATGAGCATCACAGAACCGTTCGAATCTTTGCATTGAAGAGCTTTGCATGAAGTGCTTAAAGCAACAAACAGATGAGTGTTTCATCGTTTGAGAAGGGTGTTGTGAAACACGATTGTTGAAAGGGAAAGAAGGAAGATAACATTGACAGTAACGGTGATGATAATAACAACACAAGGATTAGTGATATCCAAAAGAATAATGGTGCATAATGATGGGCAGTGAACGGATGGATATTCAGTCAGAACGAATAACACCAACAACGACAACAACAAACAAACCAAAAACAACAACGGAACAGCAATAAAAAAATGAACGCAAAAAAGCTCATCCTCTTATATCGTTAGAATGCTGTATAACAACGAAAACAAAAACAATTCATTTGCCTAAAACGTCTCGTCTCGTCTCCATGAAAGATGAATAAAGCAACAAAAAAAGCAACAAACTAATGGCATCCAAATGTCGAAATGATTCAATGAAAGTCTCCTTTCAGCAGTAATTCTACGGTGAGTTTCGTTGATTTCGTTCGTTCGGTACAAGAAGGAAGAAACGACAGGGTTCGAAGTAATCACACGAAACGCACAGCTAGAATCACTTTTCACTGAATCTTCGTTTCGGTTGATGCGCTTGAATATTGGACAGAAATAACGACAAAAAAAGCGATTTTCGACAGAGCAGCGATAACCGGAGAACGTATACGGAGCACATGAAACAGAGCCATATCAAAATGAAGCATGCATGAGAGCACGTGAATATGAAACGATTACTGCTTTAGGGTGGCAATTGCTGGTGATACGCACATGATGCATTTGGTCAAATGCACTTTCGATGGACATTGCAGCAGGGGACGATGGATGATTGATGCAGACGAAACATTACAATATTAATCGAGCGTACAGACTTAGTTCAGGTTTTTGGGTAAGATATCCTCACAGTTATGTGTGCAATTCCATTTGATCCCACTGACGGTAGCAGTTAGAAGCGGTATCGGATTGCTCAGGTGTAAGTACACCTGGACAAATAATGCTATCAGATCAAAGTTACGTCTTGAACTCGAGAAAACACTCGGAGCATACAATATGTCAGTTGATCAACATCGCTCGAAAAACCTCAGTAGTACGATAACTTCCAAAATAACATTAGGAATAATTGTCGCAGCTTTTTTTGAATATCTTGCGCATGCAATGACTTTAAAAGAATTGCCACGATTTCGAATTGATTGGTGACATGATTCAGTGCGGATATTGTGNTTGTGTAGGATGATCGTGATGAGGAATTAATTAAGCGTGTATGCGATTATGTTGCCTGTGTGGAAAAGGTGCGAAAGGACGCCAGCGCTGCATAGAACGTAATCTGTGCCGTGAATTGTTATTATTGAACCGACGACGAGTGTGATTATTGTTGCGAAATAAACGAGGACGAAATCGCTTAAAATGTATCAGCTGATTGCGACGTACCGGTGTCCACTTAGATGTTTGCCACTTGTAATTATTATCACTGACAAGGATATTATTTGAGTTGATGATATTGTTATTGATATTATTGGCTAGTTGTGGTAATGTCGGCATGAAACGACACTTCTCAACGGCACATTGACGTGCCACCGTCGGCTTCTCAACAGACGAGCACTGCGAATCAGCAACGCGTTCACGTGTTTTCTGATCCTCACACCATACACTACGCCTCTGTATGCCACCACCACACGTCACTGGACACTAGAAGTACACTCAACCATTCTTCACTGATGCTCATTGATAAATATTCATTTAAATTCCAATCCAACGGGTCAGTAATATCGATCAAGATGTAAAAGTGATCTTGTGAACATATATGGTGCTAATCAACAGTTATTGCCTGTGGATACACAAAAAGATGACTGCAGTCGTGAAACGTCTCGAACAATCTATGAGTAAGTTTGTGCATGCGCTAAGGAAAACAATAACGGCACATACATGAGACCATGGAGACATCTGCCACACTGTAGACGCCTTAAGGCATTCGTGTTGATTGCAACGCTCAAAAGTTGATGGTTTCTCGTTTTCATTGCAAATGCTAGCACTGCACGACACTAAACGACGTCTCCATCCACCACCACACGATGTTGAACACTTAAATAATTTCATTGATCAGCATCGAGCTGCTTCACTTTCGAACGAACTCAACACACCTTCAACTGTCAGTCACAAACGGTTACGGTTCATCAGGAAAGTTGCCCTTAGTCTCTGAGATCAAGCTAAATTTGTAGTGCTAATCATAGACGCAAGCAAATCCAGCACATTGCCAAGCTGTACACATCTGATATCGGTGTTGACGAATACTACGAATACTACTTAAAAATCAGAAGTAACACACTCAAAGCACCTGCATGCTCAGGTTTATCCACCACGTTTTTATTAATGTCGTATCTGAACTACTACCACAAAAGCGAACTCACCTATTCTATGAAAACCTCGTTATACTCAAAACAACGAAGTCATTTTGCTCAGCGCGACAACTGAATTGCTTTTTGAACTTCCTAATTGGCATGCAACATAAAGCATCAATCACATAAGGACCGAATGATTTGCTGAAGAGTTCCTAAGATGATCAGTCAGAAAACTTGCCTTATCCCAGTCACCAGTTAACCATTTGCCAAGTGGAGGCTCGCCCATTGGACAAGCCTGCAACCCACAAGATTGTATGGACTGAGGACGACTTGCAAGATCGCAATCTGTTTCTCTAACTGGTTGATCGCTTCCATCGGTCGATTCACAGATGACAAGTCGTTTGGTTGTTGCATGAATACCGCACGTTGCAGAACACTGAATCAAGATTTAATGCATACACTGGCAAGTTATGCGCTGATCTAGCATAAAAGACAGAGAATTCGCCTAATGTTCAGGAATATTCCTGTTTGAAATCAGTGAATGGAGCCGTCGATCTTAGCAGTTTCATGAATTTAGCGAGAGTTTCAAAAAATTTGAGGAATTACTTGCTGCCACGGTCCAACAGTCCATTGTGCGCATGGTTTAACGAAGCACGGTCGAGTTGATTCGATACGCTCCAAATGCTGACAGTAAACTTCTGACAGATCACGGATATGATCACGACATACAACAAGTCTACGCTGAGTTCCATTGCCACATGAACGTGAACAATCTGACCAAGGTCCTATTGCCCATCGAATTTTGGGTTGTTCATTGGACATGGTTGTCAGATCGATGGTGTTCCGCAAGAATGTTTCGCAGTTATCACGAACACAAATCTTTTCTGTTCTCGGTCGTGTGGCCTCAAATTTTTTTAGCTGATTGATTCACTGTGCAACGGCAAAAAGAGTATTTCAAATGTTCAATCGGAATTTGAATCAACACTTCAAGCACTCGTATTACAAACATTAGTAAAAGTAATCAGATCGCGCCTTAGAATAGAAAAACCAACTCGATCACATTCTATTTCGTTGACAATCGTCTTCGATGGTCCACGAACGCATTGAACTGCCCGAGTCTGCATACCCGTTCCGCAAGTAACTGAGCACTGAGACCATGGCATGATTTCCCATAGCGCGCAGGCCACCAAACTGTAACAAATACAGAATACAATCATCATAGCAACGAGATTAATTGAAACGTCAAACGGTTATTCCTTATAGATGAAATGAATACTAAAGATATCAGCAGTGTCACGAGATCTACATTAAAGATAAGAAAGAAGCGGAACGATGGAACCCACTGGCAAGGTTCATGTTGTTTTGGTTGCTGTGAATCACCACACAACGAGCCATCTACAGACTGCTCTCGGTATATGCACTCAACATTTCGAGAACGAACACCGGATCCACACGTCACCGAACACTGAAATTTTCAGCCTCAATTCATTATTTTGAACAATTTCAGCGCGGAAAATGAATAAATAATATGAATGACAAGAATATTTCACAGTAACGGTCAACAGAAAACTGTTATAGCTTCACAGAAAAAATCAAATCCGCAAACGAAGTCTGATCGTACGAAAGGCGTTTGAGGTGTCTCTATAGTGAAGTGTTTTAATCTACCTTAGACCATTCGGATGTTCTCCAGAATGGGCATGGACCTTGGTTACAGAGTTGATGACTCTGTGGCCGTACTTCCTGTTGTGCTAGGCACTGTTCATTTGGAACATCGTTACCGAATGCATCAACACATGACACACGTCTCGTCATCCATCCATCGAGACACGACACAGAACATGGACTCCATGAGCCAACACGCCAACTTGGACACGCACTTCGATTGCACGGTTTTTGAACGATACGTTCTCGACGATCGCAACGTACTGCAAGTTTTCTTTCGTAACAACTCTCAACACAAATATAGCAGTAGATTCCAAATTTTGATGAGTTCTTGTAAGAACCGATTCCAGGAGAACATGGGTTTTCGAAAGATTCACGAGTCCTTTCAAAAGAAGACAAATTAGGATCATAAGTTCTGACAATGAGATATCATTTTGTAGATCAAAGCTGACTACAATATGGAGCTGAACTTTATCCTTCCGCCTGCTGAAGACTATATAATTTTTGTGGTTCCGTCAGCCTTTCTCACAAATGAACATGAACTCTTGATAAGGACTAGTGATAGGCAAGAGCATGATTTGATTGTTTCTCTTGAGAGATTCAATGTGAGCGATGAATGCCTCGTGGTAGTGATGATCAGTGAAAGAGAACGATACTTTGGTCGAGTTCTCGTCCCTTGCGATCCACACAGATCGCATCACGCGTCTCGATCCCCTCTCCACAACTCACTGAACACGCGCTCCAAGGTCCGAACTGCCAATGTGTACAGTCGTGTTCGTTACACTTCTCACGATCGAATTTCTTCGACGTGCTGCACATTCCAATCGGCAACTCTCGACCACCTGCATCCTGACACGACGCATGCCGTACACGTACACCACCGTCACAAGATCGTGAACACTGCAGTCAATCGTTTTGCATTATGGAATGGCGTTCAAACTGCTTCTATTGAGGGGAACTTCTTCAGGTTACTGCTGCTAAATTCTTGAACGGAATTCGAATCTCAATCATAAAACCTAGTTCAGTCTAATGCGAACGAATCGATATTGCTGAAAATTGCAAAAATGTGGGAAAAAACGATAAAAAAAGAGTGGATAGCAGGCAACCTCAGACCAAGGTCCATACACCCAAATGGGACAAGCCACTCGATTGCATTCCTTCTCAGTGATCTCACGTGTCGCCATTTCGCACGCCCTTTCATCGATCCTTCGATTCGATTCATCAACGCAAAACGCCTGACGTCGCATCACACCATTCGAACCACATGATTCAGAACACTTAAAACACAACTGTATAACTAAGAAATCATGTAAATGCGAGTTGAATTTAAGAGAAATTGATTCTAAGACGGGCATCATTATGATGAGTGCGCTTAAAGACATGCAATCAAATGATTAACAAAAAGATCTTTGAATGATCATCATAGATAAATAAGATTGCTGACCGTTGACCAGTTCGTATATGACCATTTCTTTCCAGAGCAATCCGTAAAGCAGGGTGTACGATCGGGCGGTCTTGCTAGAGCACGACACTCAGCCTCAGCAACGATTTCATCACGACCATCAACAAAACTGCGAATGCAGTCCACATTTTGACGTTGCTCACCGTGACCACACCTCACTGAGCACGGTCCTAACGAGACGACACGCCATCTCAAATTGAGGGGCGATTTTTGGCAATAAACTGGATTTATGTCAAGATATGTGATTTCATTCCTTACGATTTAGGCTAATAGAATCATAATTAGCGAAAAAGATCAACTAGAGCGGATGGAGCTAATTGCTGAATTTCTCGAAATGCGAGAAAACTGAAATCGTTTGTAACTTTTACTAATAATGAGACAGTTTTCTTTCCCTACCACCTAACTCTAAGACAACAAACTGATCGAGGATGTCAAATATGAATTTGACGGGCAGAGGCGGAATGAACAGCATTCGAAATGCATTGAATAGCGGGGAATTTTGATTGTTATTTCATAAGAAAGTAGTACTTGATTGTACAGTCGATATTGCAGACTCTGGTCTCGGCAGGCGGACGTCTTGCTGTGCACAGATTTTCGTTAGCCGTTCTGCCTGATACTGCATCCAAACAAACCAATTCACGATTCTGACTACCTTAAAATACCTCAAAATGAATTAATGCCTCCATTTCAAATCAAACGCCACGATTTTCATATTGGTACAGTTTTAATGTCAAAGAGGTTGCTGAGCGCAAAAACGCTGTGACAGGAAATGCGCAAATTTACAGAGCTGCTGAAACTTCGTAAAATGTTATGCTGAGAAGATTAGTTGCCTTGACATAGAGCTGAGCAGTCGCCCCAATGATCGTTGAATCGCCAATAATAAGTGCTCTGAACGGCTTGATGACCGACCGACTCCACATTTTGATTCGGTACCATAAATTCGTAGTGTATATCTGGTGGATTAATGCTACCAACCGAAAGCACGTGTAAGAAGATGTCCATTCTGAAAATTACACTTCATCTTGATAACGGACATGCTCTGCTTGATATCGTAATTAAGGTAACACTTCGTTGGCTTTTGGTCAATCGACGACAAAGTCAGCAGAACTCGCTAAGCGAAACAATAAGAAACCTGATCGGTCCGGTTCCGTTTATTCTTTCGATGACATTATCACTGCCAGAATATTCCAAGACGGTATCCTGAACTGAGATGTGCTGCTTAAAGACTGAAACCTGATAATGACCGTTGAGGAGAAATTCTCCGTTGGCTGTTCGCAGCGCTGAAAAAGTTTTCAGTTTGAAAATTATTTGAAATCCAGCCATCGTCATCCTACACTGCTAATAGCACGTCCAGCATAACCGTTAGATTCTTGGCAAAATTTAGTGAAGTGCCCAATTTGTATTACGTCTTCCACTGAACAACAGCAATAGACAACTGTCCATGCAAGATTATGGTTTTCAACGAATGATGCCGAGCCATGTGCAGATATTGCAGCAAACGTTTCGAAGTGAGAATTTTGCGGTGAAATTTCAAAGTAGTATTCATAAGAAAAATTCGTATGTTTCCTACCCAAGTAATTGTCATCATCCTTTTGATCTCGGTAGCCACGCTGAGTGATCTCGATATTTGCCGATCCCGCAGGTATTTTCAGAACTTGATTGTATCCGAACGACCCACGTTCATTGTAAGTACCCGAAATCGTTGTGCAAGTAGTGCCGTCTCCACCGCAAATACCACATCGATCACGACGCATATTTGAGCCTAATCTATGATCACATCCTGCCTGAAGTTACCCTCCTTACTTGACAATTTCTTCATAAACTACCTTGTAATGCAACGATCACATGATGGCCATTGTTTTTGTTAGCATCGTGATACGAGATTTTGATCGACTAACATTTCATGCATTGGAATATTTCACAGCGGAAATTAAAAAAAAAACAATTTACGCGAATCAATTTATTCTCCCTGTTTTGTGAATGCGGTTCGCATTGCATGACATGTATTTGCGTTTCAAACATCACAATTTCGTTGATTAATGCGATGTGTTTTCTGGAGATTGATACGTGTTAACGTAATGGATGCTGGCAATAACGAGAAACGAGTTTTATTCGGAGGACATTCAAAACGCTCAATTGTGCTCATCGCTTCACATGCTGAATTCCGTCGCTCAACCGCTAACAAGTAATTCAAAGGTTAATATTCTCTTCGAACAACAACCAACAACTTTTTGTGCTGATCAATAGCTTCCGTTACCAAAATACGCCCAAACGAACAAAAAACGTAAGTAAACATAAAAACTCTTAAGAACGTCATTCTTAACGTGCTCAGTTCCACTCATACATCAGCCGTAGAACTTTGAAATTAGAGCAGAGTGGGAATAATTGGACTAAAAATTTAGATTATAAACTGATAAGAAAATCGCGCAACCACTTATGGATCACCTGACAGTCAAACGAAGCGATTAAAAAGACGTGATAATATGCTCGCAGCTAGATATGAATATAGTGAATCAATTTCGAATTCAATAAGAATTAAGACTCATGATTAGAAATCAGTAAGTGATAAATTCAAATTTGAGTCACACCAGAGGTAAGGATGATCAGGAATGAGCAAACCTTATGACACGTTCCATCGATACACATGTCGTCACCGTAACGATCACATGGAGTCCCATCGGTAACTTTATCCTTCAGTAAGTAGAATGCTGCTGAACCACTGACACGACAGTACAGTTTACAGCGTTCGTTTTCACTCACTGAACAAGGCATAATGAAGTTATTCATCGCAGTTCAAGTGAAGGTGTTTTCATCAAAAGGATGTGATCGATTCACTTTCTGAACCATTCTGTATTGCCATCGAGCTCAATGACAATCGTCGACACATTGATGGCAAAAACAATTCGAAAGAAAGAAGAAATACTTGAAAGGTTCTCAGTTGATCATAAAATTTCTATGAATGCACTCTGCGTTTAGAGATTTTGTAACGCATCGGCTATGCCAACCTGCAAAACCATGCTTCATCGATTGCACTGCGAGCAATTCTCGAGAAATTCTTATCAAATATTTCAGTGGATATTTCTCAAAAAGTTGTTCTTTCTTACAAGTGATTACAACACGGCCAATGAAGCGTGGCAATCGACGATTTTTATTTCACGGTTTGGTATGGCCGATATATCACAAAATATACAAATACAAAGTAAGTACAAAATACTCGAGAAAATTTTATGATCCCTAAAAAAGTTTCTTTGTACAGGTATTTTTTGAAAAGTATTTTTCCATGAGTCGGTAGCAGTAGATAAGAGTGAACAAATGAAGTGCGATTTGTAAATAAATGATGAGTTCTAATCGAAATGCCATTGCGGTTTAATACGAAGCATTTGGATGGATCGAAAGGATTTTCATAGCGCTAAATGGCTGCTGGGTTTATCAGCGCGCTCTTTAATGTTGCACCAACAAACCACCGCTGTATCTTGGTGTCCAACGAGTACTCTTCGGGACGCCTTGAA